GATGATATTAAACTACATTTATACTAATGAAAATTTTTTAGAAAATAAATCAAGCATACTGTAAAATTTTTAGTTGTTGGATCCTTTTATTTTCACACGGAGTCTATGATCATATTTCATGCTTTTATTATTAAATGAGGAAACTCAGTAATGAGCAGTTGTTAACATATCATTTGCTTCACTAGAGTATTTGTGAGGCAGATTCTCATGTGTCTTTAATAATATAATAAAGTAATAAAACAGGGAAAATTGTAATGAATGTAGTTTTTAAATATATATATAAAATAGAAAAAAAACTTTCCAGTTGTAGGTCAACCAAAAAAAATCCCTGAAAATATAATCATTCATATATTTATTTATAATTAATATTTTAAAATTTTATTTATATAAGTTAACATATGATGAATATAACTACTGTGTGTATGTATGTGTGGGTGTATGTGTAGGTGTGTGTGTGGGGGGGTGTTATACTAGGGAATGAACCCAGCTACACTCTACCACTGAGCTACATTCCTAGCCCTTTTTATATTTTAATTTGGGATAGGGTCTCACCAAATTTTCCAGGCTTGCTCAAACTTGGCAGTCCTCTTGCATCAGCCTCCCTAGTCACTGGGATTATAGGTGTACATTATCCTACCCAGGAATTATTTACTCTTGTTAGCTCATTTTCTGAAATGAGAGCTTGTGATTATTGTTTGCTAATAATATACCTAAAAGCTTAACTATAGGAGAGAATGAGCAATTTACTACATTACTTAATCTCTTCCACATGTTTGATATGTTTTCATATAATCATGGCAAATTAGAACAGGAAAAATCAAAAATGAGTTAATCAAATTATATTCTTCAAATTCTTCTCAAGTGCTTTGGTTTGTCTATTAGGAATCTACTTCAATTAATGGGAGCTTCAGGCTCTCATTTTACTTCAACCACATAAACCCCAGCTTCACATATTTTATATGTTGGGATTATATGTAAGATATAGTTCTCAGTATCTCTAAGTTAAAAAATAGTGTTAGAAAGTTATTGCTCAAATACCACTCATTAATGTAAGCTGATTAAGAATTTCTAAAAAAAATACTTTGTTTGCCAAGGTCACAAAATGTAAATGAGAGCCTGGAGCCCTGGCAATCCCAGTGATATGGAGCCAAGGCAGGAAGATCATAGTTCAAGGCCATCCTCAGCAATTTAGCAAGACCCTCCAAAACTTAGTGAGACCTTGTCACAAAATAAGAGATGAAGGTTGGACATAGTGGCACATTCCTGTAATCCCAGCAGCTCCAGAGGCTGAGGCAGGAGGATTGCAAATTCAAAGCCAGTCTCAGCAAAGGCAAGGTGCTAATTAACTCACTAAGATCTTGTCTCTAAATAAAATACAAAATAGGGCTGGGGATGAGGCTCAGTGGTCAAGTGCTCCTGAGTTCAATCCCTGGTATCCCCCCCAAAATAAATAAATAAATAAATAAAAAGTGAAAAGGACCGGGGATGTAGCCCAGAGGTAAAGCACCTCTGGATTCAATCCCTAGTTTCAAAAACAAAAATGTGAGGAACCTAACTAGAAAACAAAATTAATTCTGAGATTGATTTCACCATTTTCATATTACCAGATAGTTTCACATTTGTATTTTCCTTTGCAGTTAAGATAAGGTAGTTAAGCATGCTGGGGAAGTGGCTCAGTAGAGTGTTTGCCTAACATCTGCAAGGCCCTGGGTTCAGTACCCAGTACTGCAAAAAAATTTTTTAAACATGAGTGAAAGTTTGAGGCTGGGGCTGTAGCTCAGCAGCAGAGCACTTGCCTTGCATTTGTAAGGCATTGAGTTCTATCTTTAGCACCACATAAAAATAAACAAATAAAATAAAGGCATGATGTCCATATACAACTACAAAAAGATACATTGGAGATAACACAGCCTTTTTAACAAATGCTGCCCAGAAAACTGGTCATCCATATGTAGAAGAATGAAACTAGATCTTTATCTCTCACCCTGCATAAAAATCAACTCAAAATGGATTGAAGACCAGGAATTAAACCAGAAAGTATGCAACTCCTAGGAGAAATGTAGGATCAACACTCCAGTTATAGGCATAGACTTTCTCAGTAGGAACCCTATAACCTCAGGAAATAATGCCAGGAGTTATTAAATGGGACAACATCAAATTGAAAAGCTTCTGCACAGCAAAGGAAACAATTATAAATGTGAAGATAGAACCTACAGAACGGGAGAAAATCTTTGCTAGCTACTCTTCTGACAGAAAGAACTCGAAAAACTTAACAACAAAAAGCCAAATAACCCAGTTAATAGATGGGCAAATGAATTAAACAAGTACTTCTCAAAAAGAATAAATACAAATTACCAACAAATATATGAAAAAAATTAACATTGCTGGTAATTAGGAAATGCAAAACAAAACTACACTGAAATTTAACCTCATACCAGACAGAATGGTAGTCATGAAGAATACAAACAATAATAAATGCTAAAGAGGATGTGGAAAAAAATAAACAGCTTTATACTATTGGTTGGATTATAAATTAGTACAACTATTATGGAAATAAGTGTGGAGGTTCCTCAAAAGGCTAGGCATGGAATCACCATATGACTCAATTACACCAATCTTGGTCTTTATCCTAAACAATGAAAGTCATCATACTATAAAGATACATTCATACCCATTTTTATAGCTGCACAATTCACAACAGCCAAACTATGGAACCAGCCTAGGTGTCTATCAACAAATAAATGGATAAATAAAATGTGGTGTGTGTGTGTGTATACACACACACACACACACACACACATACACAATGGAGTTTTGTTCAGCCATAAAGAAAAATGAAATTCTGTCATTTTCATGAGAATTAATGGAACTTGAGACAATTATGTTAAATGAAATAAGCCAAACTGAGAAGGTCAAGGGTTGTATGTTTTCTCTCATATGTGGGAGTTAGGAAAAGGAAGGTGATGAGGTTATATCATGAAAATCAAAGAAAGATCAGTACAGGGAAAAGTACCAGAGGGGCAGGAGGAGGAGGGAAGTCAATGCTGGGGAGTGATATTGGCGAAATTATATTGTTATATTCTGTGCAAGTACGAATATGCAACAACAGATTCCATCATTATGTACACCTGTAATGTACCAATAAAAATGTGGAAAGATGGGCTGGGGCTGTAGCTCAGTGGCAGAGCGCTTGCCTTGCACATGTGAGGCACTGGGTTCAATCCTCAGCACCACATACAAATAAACAAATAAAATAAAGACATGCTATCCATCTATAACAATAAATTTTTTTTAAATGTGGAAAGATACAATGAATGAAAATTTATTCTGCTGTTATACCTAATTAAAATAAATTAATTAATTAATTTAAATTTTTGTTAGATGTGGAAAAAAAGAGAAAAAAATTTGGATGCAGCTCATAAAAGATTAGAGAGCTCATGGACAGAATCCTAACTATGATACACTGATACCTATCCAGTACCACATGGAATAGAAAAGCTGTCCCATATAAGCTCACTCCAAAGAACCAGGAGCAATTAAGTTTGTAGTTCAAACTACAAACTTTGAGGATATTTCTGCAGTGATAGCTGACCAAAAGTGCAGTATTGACTTATTGTCTCAACCATGAACAACTCTAGGAATTGAGCACTGTACATTTTTATGGGTTATTTGCAGATATGTAGATCACACTAATTATTTCCAATAGTCCAAGTTATATAAAATTAAGTATTCTTTCAAGATATTCTTCATACTCATTTATTTTCTTTAGTAACTATAATCTGGTAAATTAAATATATTTGGTTATCTTTAACTATAGAATTGTGGCAACTGCTGCAGTTGTAAATATCACCTGTAAAGAAAGAGTAGCAAAGGTTATAGAACAGTTGCCTAGCATTTCCAAGGCCCTGGATTTTACCCTTTGCCAAACAAGAAAACAACAAAAACCCCTTATTTTCATTATTTTATGAGATTTGTCAAACATCTTTTCAACTACCCACCGTATTCTCAAATTATGTAACCTTGAGTAATTCACTTGACCCCAGTGAATGTCAGGTGTCCTATTTGAATATTGTAGGTAATATGTATCTTTTCAATATGGTTGTGGGTATCAAATGGGGATATATGGAAAGTTCTCATTTAGTAGGCATTCAGTTAGTTTTGGTTATTCATTTTTAGTATATTAACTCCCATCTCTACTCCCCTTCCCTTTCCATTTGGAAAAAGGGGGTAAAATGAAATGAAAAGCTAAGGCCCAAATAATCTACACCTGAGTAGGGTAAGGCTGGAAGGGACAGATCCTGCTTGTCCCTAACATCTACAATACCCAATTCAAAATTACAAATGGAAGCCCATATACCACCTGTCTAAATTTTTGAAGTCATAAATCAAATGAACACACTTTTAGGTAGAAAACATTTTATTATTTCCCCTTGGCAAAAAGAACTGTATACCAACCTGGAAGACCAAGTTTTTTGAACTTATAATTCTTGGACTCCTCAGAGTTTTGCACTAGAAAATGACAGCACAGGATGGCTGGATCCTGGCCACTTGCACACCCACCCAATTATCTTTCTTCCTGCAACTCAAACATGAAGTGTGATTTTATTTACACACACACATATAATTATAATGTAATATATATTAATTTGGGGCTAAGCACTGAAAAGCCTTTGAGCAGATTCCTCTCCCCTGATCTGTCCACCAGTGTAGAGTTGATCCTGATAATACAGCAGCAAGACAGTGGTATCTTTTTAAGCATGGGGCCCTGAGTGAGCTTATGGAGCAGACTGTCCTCCAATTTATACAAGATATATTCTCTCATTCGTAAATAAACTTGGATGATAAGCCCTAAAGATTTAGGTGTGGTGTATGTCTTCAGTAAAATGTAGTCTATTCTAAGTTGTACGAGGCAATTTAAAAATAATATTACTACTTATCAAAATGAATTTTAGGAATTATGCCGTTTAAAATGACTGAACTATTTTAAATTATTTTGACAGCTGCTGATGGATGTGTTTCAGTTCCTTTACGATTTGCTCCTCTCAGTCCTGGCCGCTACCCTTGTAAAATTTTGTTGACATCAAGGTATGATGTACGTCTCTATTGCGTTGAAGGTGTGGTAAATGAAGAATATCCAGAGGCCAAATTTGAGTTCCAGACACCAGCATTTGAACCCCTTGTTCAGAATATTCCAATAGTAAGTGCAAACTTTTAAAAAATAGTTGTCTTCATTTCTGTGTAGAGTTTTAAATTTACCTTTTTTCTCTGAAGATTGTATACTATTACTCTATAAAATTAACTGACAATAAAGAAATTAGCAGGGAAAACATAAATTTATTAACATTCAGGAATAAGAGAACTCTACACAATGTAGAAGATGGAAAAGATAGTTATAGAAGCTAAACAAAAGAATTGGAATTTGGGCTTCTAGGAAGAAGGGAGGCAGTGCTTGACTCAGGTTGAGGGGTGGGGGTGCACAGGGAAGAAGGATTGTCTTATTATGTAAATAAAGTCTCCCAGGTAACAGCCACTTGTCTTTATCTTTCTGAGCCAGGTGTCAGACTCCTAACCTCTACTTCCTATCAAAAGATCTTTCCTAGGAAGAAATAAGAAAACAGATAGAAAAGCCTCTGCATGCATCTACTGTTTATTTTCTTTATAGATGTAAATTTATTTTATAAAAGGGCAGTCTTTCTGAGTTAATTATGTCTTCAGTTTCTCAGAATAGCTATCATGAAATATTCCGAAGAAATAATCTTCAGGGTAGAATATTTTGGGTTTTCATACTCACAACAGCTATCTTAAAATATTATAAAGAAACAATCTTCAAGGTAGCATATTTTGGGGTTTTATTGAGGTATGACTGCCTCAATAAATATTCCTCAGTTCTCCCAACTTGAATTACTACAGATTAATTTTACTATCTATGGCCAATTATTTCTCCTCATTTATGTTAGAGTTCCTTTCTAAATGTAAATGTTATCACCTGCTGAAAACTTGGTCTTTGTCCCTGATGCTAACCCAATAAGGATGACATGGTTTTGAGATAAAGGAAAAAGAGGTTTCATTGCTTTGCTGGCAAAGGAGAAGCACAGGGGACTCCTATCCCAAAGGTTGTGATTCTGCCCATCAGCAGGAACAGGGGGCTTTTATAGGAGTGATTCAAAGACTATATTCCACCTGTTCTCTGTTAGAGATGTAATTCACTTGTTAATTTGGGAGACAGTCATTTCTGATATCTTCTGGTACCATCCCCAAAGTCTGGATTATTTCCTTCCTGTATGGTGAGTGAGATAAATCTGCTTAAAATGAGGAGGAAAGGTAATCCTGTTTCCCCTGAAATTAGGGAGGGGGAGAGATTATGTTGGAACAGGGGGAGAGGAAGAGAAAGAAACATGTCCATTTTAAACATAAGTTGCAGGCAGAGCAGCAGGGGCTATATTCACGATATAACACAATCAACCACTTTTTGCTTCAAAAATCAACTCTAATATCTTTAACCTATCATTAAATCTCTAACTAAAAACTGTGGCTCCTGGCTTCTCCAAGTTAAATTGTGGAATCTCAGATCACTTTGCTCCAAATTCTGTTGTGATTTTAACATTTGACTAAATGAGTTCATGGATAGAGAAAAAAAATGGCTGGCTGCAACTTGGCTACCTATTAGTCAAAGTGACAATCCAGCATTGAAGTAGATAATGTAATTGTAAGGAACTTTGGGTTTTCAGCATGATAAATTGGTTTTTGGTTGTTTAATTATTAAAGACATAACAAAAGTCAGATGGAAGCACAAAAATCTGTTCTGATGAGATATGTAATCTTTGTTATCTGAGAAATCTAACAGAACACCATTTATTTTCCTTAATTAGGCATAAATTTCTGTCCTCCAACACAATTTTGCCATTTAACAGTAGTAAGTCCAACAAGGAATATGTCTCTAGTATTCAATGATCCTTGGTTAGACCTATCAGACAATGTTTCTATGTGACAAAGAACATTCAGTCCTCCTTGTGCCTTTTGTTCACATTTTTGATAGTCATTCTTAACAATATGATTTTCAAATTGTGATTCTTAGGAAATATAACAAAAATACAATATACACTTTTATTAAAAGTGCCAAGAATTAATATATAATTGAACTTCATCAGCATCATCCTTCTGATATTTTTGTACCTCTTTGTTTTATGTTTTAGAATAATAAGACAAAGACTGAATGGAAATGTCAAGTTAACATAGAAGGAGAATGGTTTTATGGACCTCCTATTTTATATGTTGGACCAGGTGAAACTGTGCAATACCCTCTCACATTTAAACCTATTTTGGAATGTGAGATTATGGTATGAATTTACTGATTCTTTTCCCCATTATTTATATGTACATGAACAATGTGTGATATTAGTCTATTTAATTGGTAATAAAACATTTTTCAAACAGTTTGTATTTTCTACAAATTTGATAATTGTTTTGCTTGAAACTTTAATACTTTTATTTAAGGGATAAATATTGTGAAAGTCAAATGCTGTTATCTGTACTTATGTCTGGATTATTTTTACACAACACCATGAACAATGTAAAATCATCACTTCTTTTGTTCTTAGTCATTAAGAAAATTCAGATCTCAGAAAATTTTTTCTTAAGAATATTTTTTTGACAAGGAAGTAAGCATGCATATAATTGCTATATATGAGAATGCCTATATAAATTCTATAATTTATGGAAAGTAGAGAGAAATAAAAAGCTTTTCACCAGTAGTTCATTTGTTCAGTAGAAGCATTTATACATGAGTTGGAAAAGTCAATGGCTAACATTTCCTCAGAAGCTCATTTTATTAATTAGACTCAAGATGAATAGGATTGCTGAAGTTGTTTGGCATTGAACTGTGACTTGTAGTGCTGATTTTGGCTGGTTCATCATAGGGTAAACTTATTCTACAAAATGAAGTAGATGGTATGGAGCACATCTTTGACATAAAAGGGATTGGGAAAAAACCACTGGCCTTAGAACACATCAGTGTTGATTGTGAAGTGGGGAATGTGACAAATAAATCCATAATGGTGCCTAATTATACAAGGACTACCATAACATTTAAGGTAAGGGTTTTTTTTTTTTAATTTGAAAATATTTTATTCTGAATATATATTGAATTATTATTAAAATAATAATTACATGAAAAATTTTAAACACTTTATTTAATCAGGTAAAACAATGATATTTATGGAGATGTTTACAATTCTACCTTTTATTAGTTCACAACTACTCATTTTAATTTCAATTAGCACCAAACAAGATTCATACTTAAGTATTTGAATATAATCATAAAATACATTAAAAACCACTTGTTTCAATCGCATGTATTTTTGCTTGAAGAAATGGTGCATGATAACAAAGGATGTTTTCAAACAACTTTAGAAATAACCTTAAAATTTTGGATGTGCAATCTGTAGGCACAGTCTATCCTATTGTTTACCAGTATGAATAATAGTTGAAATTCGAAGAAGTGCATAGTTGCTCATATACTTATATTTTATGAAGTTCTTGTACTTTGCCCTCCTCCATTGATTTGTTTATACTAATCCCTAAATAAAATTCTCTGAACTAGGTGTATGCTCAGCATGTGCAAGACCCTCTGTTTAATCCTCAGTCCAAGAAAGAAAGAAAGAAAGAGAAAGAGAGAGAGAGAGAGAGAGAGAGAGAGAGAGAGAGAGAGAGAGAGAGAGAGAGAGAGA